TAGGAAGATGTGTTCATGGTTCTCATCCCAAAGTGGCGGAAGTGCCCATTAGGCTGGTAGATTCACCCAATCAGTGTACCTTATAAACCATAAGGAGCAGGATTTCCTCCCAAGGGACTGGGGGGACATTGATGCTTCACTGCAGAGTGGGTGGGCTGAGGGGCTGGGGTTGAAGCAGGCAATTAGAGGGAATGTGGAGACCATGAGCAGCAAGTCAGAGATCCATGAAAAAGGACTCTCTTTCTATGAACTGGTCCCACCTCAAATGGAGGCAAGGCTGAACAATCTTGAGTCTACTGGGACTGACGGCAAGGAAGTCACACGCTGCTGCAAACACACACTTTCTGTCAACTGGACCTGTGGGGGTGCCCACTTTGGCAGTCCCTGGGTAGATAGATAATTCCCTCCTGAAGATTCTCAGCACATCACGCTTCCTTTCTCCAAGGCTGCCAGCTCTCCCCTCTCCCACCCCAGGGCAGGAATAAAAGTGGACGAGGCACAGGGAGAAGCCACGTGTGGCATCAGAAACCCCAACAGATTCCAACCCAGTACTCCAGCGCTGTCCAATTGAACTCTGTGATGATGGGAATGTTCTACATCTGTGTGGCCCCATGTGGCTACAGAGCACTTGAAATGTGGCCAGTGTCTGAAGAATTAAATTTTAATTTTAGTAATCTTAAGTTAAAATCAAGTAGTCACAATAAATAGTAATATCATGTTAAAAAAATAAAATCACCTAGAGGAATGTGGGTAGTGACTACCACGCTGGTACAGAGTCCGCATTAATCACATCCTACCTGAATCTTCCCCAAGGCAGGATTTGCCTTCCCTGGACCTCAGGTTGAACCAAGCCTCGGGCCACTGTCATAGCATCTTCCTGACCATGAATTACACACATCATCCGGAGCTGTTTCAAATCTTGCCTGTGCTTGTGTTTTCTGTTCATCTGAAACACAAGGCAAGGCTTCGTGGACCCACATGGGACTTAGTAGAGCCAGGTGCACACAGGAGCCAAGACGATACTTTCCATGGGCCTCTGGAGAACCCCCCCATGTGGGACCCTGACCAACATTGGGAACAGCTCCCCCCTGGCCTGCCAGGTCTCTACCAGGGAGCTACACTCTCTTCATGATGACTGTCAGGCCGGGTGTACAGTCTCAAACTTCTTGGTCTGCAAACCAAGGGTCCACCTGATTTCTCCAGTCTCTGAGACCCTCAGAGTGTCCCACAGCATGGATGCTCAGGAAGTGACCACCCTGACAGCTAAATCTAAAGACCACAATACACTGTTTAGAGATTACAAAAGTGGTACTAATTTTCAGAGTACGTTCGTTAAAATCATGTTTATTTGCGCTTTGCGTACCTCATACATAAAATTAACCAGTGTAGAAGTGGTTAATGGTATAATCTTCTAGTCCAACAAGAGACATGCGAGAGAGTTACACGACGGTGGAAGACAGTGCAAGAAAGTAGCAGGCAAACCAGGGGTGA